GTTCGGCATTCCACCACGGCGCAGCCGCGCGGACTTCCTGGATCCAGCCCTGGCCACTTCCACCGGCCTCAATCAGGAGCCGCCCTCCTCCGCACCACCCACCAGCAGGGCCTCATCCAACGGCCAAGAGGATTTGGGGCCCGTCTTGCTGCCCAATTGTGAGCTGCTGCGGCTGCTGCACGACCGCTCCGAATGGGCACACGTCCACCACGCCATCAAGCAAGGGCACGAAACCGCACAGCAGGTTCACTTTACCATTACCTGCACACACGTGCCCCAGTGCCCCTTCCAGTGGCAGGCGACCTACTTCAAACAAAAAGGGGGCCACGCCGCAGGCACGCTGCACCACCGGCCAGCACGCGCATCAAGGTGCCCAGCAGCCTAGCCAACCTTCCAGAACCCGGTCCATTTTCACGCGTGCCCAGCTCGACCACGCCCAGGCGTACCTGCGGGACGCCAAGGTCGGCCAGCGCTCGGCGGCTGGCCTGCTCCAGCACCTGGTGACGCACCAGCGTGCAGAAACGGAGCTTCCCAGCAACTCTCAGCTCACAGAGTGGCTACGCAACCAAAGTCGCCGAGCAAAGAGCCAGCCAACTCAGCCAACACAAGCCAGCCAACCCCGAGGCGCTGCGCGCAGCAAGATCGAGCCCGTCCGGCGTGCGCTGGAGGACTGGCCCCAACAGCCAGGCGAAGCCGGAGCTATATCTCCTCCAGCCCCGCGTGCTCACCCACCACGAGGCCTTCGTCCCCTTCCGGAGTGCCGGCATGCGCTCCGTCCTCCAGTGCTACGACGCAGCGGAGCCTGAAGTCCACCTGGCTGTGGACTCCAAGATGAAAGTCTTGGAAAGGGGGCACGGCGTGGCGACGCTGAGCATCCTTTTAAAGGATCGGCTCCGCAACACCACGCTTACGCACGGCGCAGGGCAGGGCCCCGCTCACACCACCCGCGCTGCGCCCTTTCTTCAGGCGGTGTTTAGCGATGAGGGCACGCCAAACCACGTGCGCCTCTTTCGCCTGGCCTGCGACCTCTGGTCCGAGGCGCAGCCGGAGAGCCCTCCCCTGGCTGACCTGGTCACGCAAGTCCACAAGGACTTTGCGCCGGGCATCGAGGCCGCCCGGAAAGAGGTCTTTCCGCGTAGTCGTCCTTGCGACGACTACTTCCACTTTAAACAAAAGCGGAAGACCCTCGAGTCCAAGTGCCGTGAGGTCGTTACCCGCAACGGCCGCACCACAAAAAAAAACACGGCGTGGATCGCCTCGGCACTGGGTGGGATTCGCTTTGCGCCCACACTCCCACTTTTCTCCAGCCTGTGGGTCGGCCTGCTCCAGCGTCTCGCAGCCGACGGGGAGCCGGACGTCCGAGACTGGCTCCTCCAGTACTTGCCCACAGACGTGGGCGAGGCGGCGGGGCCTCACAGCCACTTCTCCTCGCTCTGGGTGGGAGCGCAAGGAATGTGGCCAGGCACAGGGAGTGGCAACGAGCCCGCGGAGTCTGTGCACTCCGTGTGGCAGCGCCAACTTGAGTCCCTTGGCGGCAAGGTCCATGAGGCGCTGATGGCCATGCAGGCCCTGTACACGAAGTCGTGGTGCCACTACTACGACTGGGATTCCGTGGAGCCACTCCGCACCCGTTTTGGGGGCTCAGGTTGGTGTAGGGTGAGGGGCTCCGGGCTTAAGGCTTCGATGCTTCAAAAAATATTATTGTATGTGCAACCCCCCCCCCCCCATGTACCTAGTATCATATCTTACTGCACCCTTCCCTAGAAGCCTGTGTGTAGTTTTCGGCAGCAAATTATGCGAAGCGAATACATTGAATTGTCAGTTGCTGCATAGGCTTAATTAAAGAGTTAGCCCCATTCAGTGAGCCCCCTTGAGCACACAACAGCTGATGTTCGTGAAGCTGAATTGTGCTAACTACGTGACAATATTATGTAGTAAATGGTAACATCTGTTTCGAATAGCAAATATGCAGTTAATGTGACAAATAGAATGCAGCGTGTTGCCGGCCGTATTCCATTCTCGCCAGCTTAAACAAAGCGAAACAACATAGCATTATTAGTTAGTTGAGTTATACACATTAAGCCAGTGAGTTTGTGTGGAACATGGAATCATATGAAGGCTCATAGTTGTATGATGTTCTTCTACGTCCTCATCTGCACAACTCGTCAAGGTTTTCCGTGCCAAGGTGTCGGCTAACTCCCGTCAGTCTGGAGCGGAAGAACGGCAGTTCATCCGCTGAGAAATGACCCTATTATTCTACGATCTTAAAATTAAGGTCTTTACAATATTGCTATTGTTAATGCTTATCTTGCTATTTGTCATACGAAATTTGTCTTTAAAAACCTATCTTCACGGTATTGCGTTTATAAACCTCTACTCTTTTTCGCATGACGCTTTAAGAAAGTTCAGAAGCATTAGGCAGATGGTTTACTTTCTTGGATTTTATTGGTTTTGCCAAATGTTTTTGGGGGATCGAGCTCGAAAACGTTGGCAAGCCAATGCAACCCATGAAGCCCGTAATACGCTATTATTTGCTAACCCCCTTCTCCCCGCTTCGCCCCCCGCTTCGCCCCCCGCTTCGGCCCCCGCTTCGGCCCCCACTTCGCCCCCCGCTTCGCCCCCACTCCGCCCCCCGCCTCCCCCCCACCCTCAACCCACCCTCAACTTTTGGGTTGTCCCTCCCTCCCCGCCTCCTATTCCCCTCCCCAACACCCCCGCACCGCAAGCTATCTTCCAAAACTTAAAATCACAAGCGCTGGTCCCTAAGATTTTGGAGTAAGTTGTCTTTCCTAGTAACACTGGGTTTGATTATAAATACCAAGTCTTCCCTCATAAAAGGTTTGGTTTTGGTCAGAAACCTTTTTTCTGGCGGACAAAGTTAGTTTTGGCAAGAGAGCAAAAAACACAACATTCATAGATCCAGCTCATTGCTCTGAAAAAGTGAGTCTTTGGTTTTGCTGGTGTCGGTGTCGAATCCTTAGGTCGATGTCGAGTCAATATGTCCTATATACAGTTATTCAGAATCGGGAAACCTGTACATTTGCGGCGGAAACAGACGACGGTAGGTCATTGGGGGGGGGGGGGGGGGTACGTGTCCTTGAATTTATGAGTATATTTTCGGTCTATCCAGACATTTGCGTTTCAATTAGGTTTGTCAGATGAAACGAGAAACGCAAAGCAAAATGTACCCCAAAGGCGGCGACAGAATATTTCATGGTTTTGAGGTCAGAGGAAGCCCTCGGTCACGAAAGCATTCTATGCCCTGAGGGCTCGACACTGCCGAGCCTGACACAGGCATGCGACATGGACCTTCTGACAACCCAAAGACCTCAAAGAATGGCTTCGTAATGGTGCTGCTCCTAGCGGTGCACATTAACAAACCACTCTCATGCGGAATGCGAGAATCTCCACCCCCCCCCCCCCTCCTGGGGCCTCCCTAACCTCTGATTTGTTCAGTTTGCATTCCATAGTTTTTCTCTGAAGCGCTTGTGTATCTGCCTTGGTGTGGATCCGAGGCTCCACCACTTCAGCAACTGAGCACCCGCCGAGCAGTGCTGCCTAGGGTTTAGACTGTTTGTGGTCACATGTGTTTATTTCGGGGGCAGCTTGCAGATTCTGCGCATGCAGTGTTGGAGATTTTAAGTTCTGGTTTGCGACAATCTCATGCTTTCTGATTTCCGCTTGATGGGCGATATGGGCGTTGCCTGGCACAAAGCGATGTTTATTATAGTTTGTCATGTTTGCGCATCTGGTCTTGGAGGTTGTGTTGCTGTGTTAGTTGGGTAGAAAACTGGCCAGAGAGCAAAGAGTATTCTGAGGTGCTCAGGCCTTCACTGATAATGCTACATGATGCTGCAGGAAGCACTGTTTCAGGCTGCACTTGAAGCCTGGGTCTTCTGGAGTAGGATCTCATCTCGAGTTCTGCAGGACTTAGGATTTAGGGCCTAATGTTTCTAGGTCCGCGAAGACTTAAGAATGAATGTAAACAATCGAGGGCGAGTGTACGGCGCAAGAGGCTCAGACAGTCAGACTTGCGATTTTGCGGCTAAGCAGGTTTAGTTGCATTGTTTTCTGCAATGGTTTGCGCCCACGATTTAAGCCTGGAACCTGTGTTCCAACAGCATCTTACTTTTCAAGCGCGGGGGCCTCGGCTTGAGGAGAGCCTGTGGCGTTCGTGGACTGGACTTTTTGTTGTCAGGACCAATCGAGATCCCGAACCGGCATTCTAGGGCTTCAGGGCTGTCCGATTTAGCCTTTCAAGTTTCGGGGTGTCCAGAACCATCCCCGAACCCCAACAGAGTTCAGCCTTGAAAAGGCCCTGGAAGCCCTTGCACGTCTACACCTTCATTCTAGCTTTCAACATTGGTTCTACCACCCCAGCAAAAGCTTTCGGACGCAGATTCACCGGACCTCGCATCGGGGCTTTACGCTCAAATGTGTTAGTGTTAGGGTTCATGTTTCATGTTTTCGTGTTTCAGGGATTCAGGACAGCTTTCTCCGCAGAGAATAAAAGTCATGTCCCCGGTTCGTAGGCACTGTGTCTTTTGCTTCTGATCACGAACTCCACCCAGGCTTTCTGGATGGTTCTGTGCGAACGGCTCCATTCCACCTCTGCGTGAAAAAACGATCTTCGTCGTGGTCCCAATTTAGAGGCTAAACTAGAACTTCTTTTGCAATCTGTCCCGAGTCTGTACACTGCAGCCTTTTGCAAAGCTGTGTCTATCGACTTATGGCACTCCCATGCAGCGCTGCCTTTTCATAGGGAGCTCCCTAAACCAATACAGCGCAATATGATGTCCCAGCATCCTAGATCTACACAGAAGCGCCAAAAGCAAAGAGGCGTGCTCATGCGTGCCCTCAGCGCTTCTCAAGATGTGCCACTCTCGCAGTTTAAGGAGGCAGCATAACATCGTAGAAGGTTCTTTGCCAACATAGCAACCCTAAGTCCTAGTTGTAAGCCGTTTTTCGCATTCCTCTTCACTTCTTGGCATTTTGGGCAGGTAACACAGCTGCACGAGCGGTCTGCCATCGTCGCCCCATGCTCACAAGGCGAGCTTCAAACACCAGCGTGCGTGCGTGCGTGCGTGCGTGCGTGCGTGCGTGCGTGCGTGGGTGGGTGGGTGGGTGGGTGGGTGGGTGGGTGTGTGGGTGTGTGGGTGTGTGGGTGGGGTGTGGGGTGGGTGTGGTGGTGGGTGTGGGTGTGGGTGTGGGTGTGGGTGGGGTGGGGTGTGTGTGTGTGGGTGTGTGTGTGTGTGTGTGTGTGTGTGTGTGTGTGTGTGGTGTGTGTGTGTGTGTGTGTGTGTGTGTGTGTGTGTGTGTGTGTGTGTGTGTGTGTGTGTGTGTGTGTGTGTGTGTGTGTGTAGTGTGTGTGTGTGTGTGTGGGTGTGTGTGTGTGTGTGTGGTGTGTGTGGGTGGGTGTGTGGGTGTGTGGGTGTGTGGGTGTGTGGGTGTGTGGGTGTGTGGGTGTGTGGGTGTGTGGGTGTGTGGGTGTGGGGGTGTGGGGGTGTGGGGGTGTGGGGGTGTGGGGGTGTGGGGGTGTGGGGGTGTGGGGGTGTGGGGGTGTGGGGGTGTGTGTGTGGGGGTGTGTGTGTGGGGGTGTGTGTGTGGGGGTGTGTGTGTGGGGGTGTGTGTGTGGGGGTGTGGGGGTGTGGGGGTGGGGGGCGGGGAGGTGTGGTGTGCATGGGCATGGGCGCGTGAGCATGTGCGCGTGTGCATGTGCGTTTGTTTGTTTTAGTGTTTGTTTAGTCCGCGTTTTCTTTGTAGCATGATTCCGCATTTTTTCATTCTTGCGCTTTTGTGTTTGTTGTTGCTTTTCATTTCCACGTTTCGTGTTTTCGCATTTCGGATTTGTCGGACGTTTCGCGTGTTCACGTGCTTCGCCTTGCTCACAACATTCAATTCAATATGTGCAGTAGCCCACAAAACTAGACCTCCTTCTCGTTCGCACCAGAAGTTTCAGCACGCAAGTGTTGGGTAGCGGAGGGTTCCGTTTCTTCTTTACCCGATTGCATACGCCCAGACGTTTCAAAATGCACGGCGCCAGAGAGCACAACATCTCCAGATGTGCCCCGAATACCTACAGTTCCACAGGCAGCTGAAACCCCAAGCCAACTCTGAGCCTTTCACTTGCGGGACTGTGTCATCAGCTCCTGCGTCTTCATCACGGAAGCACATTTATCCTTTTTTTGTCTTTGCGTGCGTGTGTGTGAGAGTGAGTGAGTGCGCCTTCCGCACTTAACATGCAACTGTCTGTCGGTGGACCAGTGACACCACCTCAACTGCACCAACGATTCGAGCATGGCGGACATTGGAGGGACATATTTCGCAGCTTGGCAACTCAGGTCCCAGCACGCCGGAGTTCGAAGTCGTGGAGTTCGACTATGCTGTGATAGCAGCAGGACCGTTTTGTCAGAAACTGTCAGCATTTTGGGGTTCAAGAAGATGCGTCACGTATGCCGGTCGTGCTTTGCATTCCTTACTTCACGAGATGCCGTCGAGCTCTCTGTACAATTTTACCCTGCTTTCCTTTTGTGGGCTGTCGTCTCATGCATGCCCACTTAGGTTCCATTCCTGGGTTTCAAGGTTCGACTGCGAACCCAGATTGCCTTGCTCATTCAGCAACTTCAGCGCCCAACTGATCTCAAAATCCCAGAGAGAATGCCATGTCCAAAGCCAACACCTTTCAGACCCCAGAGGCTCCCGCTACGTGGGGAGCAGCCACTGGAAAGTGGGAGGTGCCCAGCTTAGCCTCTGGCACCCTAAAATTAGAAGGGAGATGGCTGTGGAAGGGCCTCAGATCTAGAAACTTAATTCCCAAATTTAACACCTTGAGCATGCATCCCTACCAAAGCTAGAAGCAAGTAAGTGCCACTTCGCTCACAATCTATCCTGACAGCTACAAGCTCTAAACCCACCCGGCCCATGTAAACAGCACAAAAGTTTTCTATTCGGGGTTTGCATCTGGTAGGGTTTCAGGGCTTTGGATGTCTGATCGTTTGGGCAGGATCCTTTTGTGTCAGGTTCCAGATTGGAGGTAGTGCTCCTCGCGCAGAACTCAGGAGTTCGGGATTTGCAGGCTGTGTGCCAGCAGAAACTCATGCAAACTTTCGTAGTATTATCCCGTCATACCAGACGAGTACCCTCTGCTCCTTGGCGTTGCAAGGTGAAAAGATGTATTGGGAAGCATATCGAAGCCCATACTGTTTGTGGAAGCAGCTTTGATCATCTTCAAAACTATGGGGGGTGGGGTTGGGCTAAGGTAGGAGTGTTTGCGCCCTAGGGAGTTCTGTAAAGTTCCAGATGAAGGGGCCACTTGTTCATGGAACTTGGAAATGGAACTTTCTTTGCTTTCAGTAAGTTGGGCAAGAGATAGCGAGAGACAACACCTGGGCAGTACTTTCCCTTCACCCGAAATGCACTTCTGTCTCCGATCGTTTTGGGATGGAGGTTGAAGCTTCTCAAGCAAGGGACAGACACGAAAAAACATCAACAAAACAAGCAAAGTTCCCTACACGGAGGTCTGCATTTTAACTTGTTGCTCGTCTCTTGAAAAGGGACATGAGGAGGAGGGCGTAAGGGTGTGCGTCTAGTGATCTGGCTCTGTGCCTACAGGGACATACGAATCTTATGGTACATTGATATGAACACATAGGTTTGACATGCATGTTTTAACAACCCACCTGTATTTGCGATATTACAAGTGATTTGAAACTTCTGGAGGCGCGGCCAGTGATCTGGTTCTACGTCTAGTCCGGTGATCTGGTTCTGCATTTAGAGGGTGACAAAAGAAGGGAAGCCGTCCAGTGATCTGGTTCTCCGTCTAGACCGAAACAAGACCAGACAAGGTTAGGGAAAGGCGGGGCGCGTCCAGCGCATCCGGTGATCTGGGCGTCTAGATCTAGAGGAGAGGGAGACAAGAAAGGAAACAACGTGTGGGGTCAGAAGGAGATAACAAGGGAGACCCGAAGGGGGTGCATGTGTGAGATTGAAAATCAGATGGGAGTCAAAAGCTCGGGAGTGAATGTCGACCTGTAACTGTGGTGTCGGTGTCATGGCTAAGTGGCGGCACTTCAAAGCAATGTGTGCATACAAGCATCCTATTTTGGCACAAGTATCCAGCCTGTGAAATGTGGATGCGAATCGGTGGACAACCCGGCCATCAAATTTGCCATAACGAGTCTGGAAGTGAACCCCCATGACGATCTGGCTCTCGACTTGGGCAGTTTCATTCCATAGTGTCGGAGATAAACAGAAACAGGGTAAGGACCTGAACCTGATCCGAGCCCGACGCCGCTAAACCCCAAGAACCTGAACCTTAAACAACTTCAACCACAAGGCCCCCAAGAAGAGGCGATGACGCTGCGCAGCAGAGCCGAGAAGGCCGCCAACAAGGCGTGAAAACATCGTTGGAATGTAAGGTGCTCAGCAACTGTACGGGTTCAAGGCTTTTGAGCGCTAATGTTCAGATTTAGCGTTAAGTTTTCACGAGTGTAGGGTCACAAGCCATGTAAACCCCCAAACCTTTACATGTCGCACAAATTTACATAATATACGAGCCCTTCAAGCGGCAATCCATATAAGCCCGACAATAAACCCTAAACCCTCAGGGTGCGAGTTCAATGCTACAAGGAAAAGGCCGGGCCTGGGTTCTAGCCTAGACCTTGAACTCTGGAGCCCAAAACTTAAATCCATCTCCAAGGACGACGAAGAGCACATCTGCGAGCTTTCTTTTTCACTACAAATGCCTTACTCCATGTCGAGGGGCTGGGATCCTGTATATACCCCCGATTAAGCCAAGAATGGCTAGCTGCTAGGCGAACAACTCTCTCAAAGTCCTGAAGCCCACGAAATCCGTACCTGGGCATGACAGAAACACGCTCGTCCAAGATGAGTGTAGGCGTTGGGCCTGACAGATGCATGCCACGCGGTTGCACAATGCAAGTGACTTGTAACTATGCAAGATCATGAGGTGGGGCGTCTTGCTCATGAAGGGTTTTAACCATGTGCAGTTTCTGCGGGGATTCCTTGATCGAGGTCTTCTTGCAGTCGTAATGGTTTCTTTGTCGTTTAGACGGCCTGGTGGTTGGCATGCTCGTAACAGGGTTTCGGTCACCCTGGCCATGACCGCAAGAGCCATTCTGTATCGTGGAAGCCGCGCATTCCACAAGCGGCTCCTTCGCGCCAAGCATCATGGTTTTGACTTGCTGCACAAAGCACCGCAAAATCATGCTGTTCAGGCAGCAGTTCATGGGAGAGAGGCGTGTCGGCCTTGATTTTTTGTTTGAGAGTCGGAATGCGTGGTTCATTGCGGTTTAGTTTGCTGAGCTGCTGTTGCAAGGCGGGGGTAGCGACGTCTTGGTCATGACTTATCGTTGGGAGTCGCAACGCGCGGCTCATTGGGGTTTCGGTCTCGCCTGCCAAGCAGCTGCTGTGACGACTTTGACTGCCCCGACTCGCAGGCTTAGCCGCGCTGCGCGCGCGTTTGGTGCAGAGGGCAGAGCGCGGAGAGCCGTGGAGCCCAGAGCACTTGTTGTCTGGTTTTTTGAGTTTGGGGAACTAATGGTTTTTGTGTTTTCGAACGAACTTTTCAGTTATCCAAACTCGACGTGCGGTACTTCTTGCACCCTAAACTACAAGGTGGTCCTTGAACGAATCTCGATGCGACATCGTTCCGTAAAGAGGCGCCCTAGCCTGTTCGAAGCTCAAGTGCACCAGGTATCCAAATTTCCTCATCAATGTCAGATGTCGTCGGGAATTCTCTTTCGAATCACTCTTGTTCGCCCAGGGGTTGCTGCTTGGCTTAGAGCCTGCAATGGGGGTCGTCGGAATTCTGAGCCAAACAGGCCCGCGGTTCTTTTGGGTGGTGGCCTCGTCGGTGTGGAGCTCGCTGCTGAGTTGGCCGAAGCCTTGGGATTGCAGGATGTAGGCATGCACAGAATGGACTGACAACACCAAATCCCACGTCAATCCACATCCTCACTTTGTTGTTTTCCTACTTTGGCTCCGTGTCGGCTCTGGTGGCGGAAATTTGTTGCTGCCATTTTTGGCTCTTTCTGTTGCTTGGACGTTTGTTGTAGAGGCTCTAACCCTCACGTCCCATTGACAGAGATGTGGCGCTCTCTTTTTTTGTTGTTCGCCCAGCGACTAGGAGGGCTGGGCCTCAGTCGCTGAGTCGTGGCTCCCGTGAGCTCGTGCGTTCCCATGTTGCGGGTTGCTTGGATGGGCGCCTCAATGCAGGGCTGGTGTGGCTCATCGCCGGGTTGAACAATCCGCAGATGATGTGAATGCCATGTCTTGTATCAACTTAGAATGCGGCAGCCAGAATGGCAATCACATCGGGTCGGGGTCGGAGCACAGAACCCTTACATGTTTTGCAGACTAGCGCGCGGATTGGTCTTGCTCTCGGTTACATGCCTAGAATGTTGCGCCCGCAAAGAAATCAGTCTGCTTTGATGACTACATTAAATGACGGGAGGCTCGAACACTGTTGGTGCGAGGCCGAGGCCGTGTAGAATTCGAGGTTGTTGGGTGGTTTTGCATTGCTTGGTGTGGCCTAGTTTTTTCACAAAAGCACTGCTCCACTGGGATGTGTTCTTTAGCAAAAAGCACACTGGCTTGGAAGAAACTCAGAAACGCAGATCCCTTAGAACAACAAGCAACACATAGTAGCCCCTGTTCGGGGAAGGACTTTGCAATCACCTTCGCGGAAACAGCGAGAACATCTCGGGCAACACTGGAAGTTGAGTTTTTTTAACCGACACATGGATGCCGAACTAACAGCATGCAACAGACGTCGTTGCAGTATTGCAAAGACCGAAAGTGATTCTGACACCATTTTGGTTGGATGTGCACGTATAGTCTTTGTGGGTTCTACGTCGCTGCAGCATCACGGGGCCGCAGAAAAGTATTGCATTTTGGGTATGGAATCGCTGCAGGTTGTTTACAGCATGTTCTACAAACAGCCTCTAAGTCTTTGTCGTTCGCAGGAAACTTCATACCTCGATTATGGTCGACAGGATCAGCACGTGACCAAACATTGTCGGGAGCGTAAACTAGACTACCGGCTCTCGATAAAACTTTTTGCAATCGTTCGAAGCTCAGGCCCACTTCATGCCAAGCTTGCAAGTCATCTTGGTGGACAAGTGCGCACGGCCCCTGCCGACCATGCCCGCCGACGCGCAGGTCTGAACTGAGCGAAGGGCTCTTGTTGGGGATTCGGGAGCATGCGATATCGGGCATGAGCTAGCGCTGCCGGATTTTGAAGGGCCAGTGATCTAAGACATTTTTGAACCGGATGGTACCGACGGCACTGCACTAGCCTCGCTCTGTCAGTGTGGAGTGACAGTGTTGGCCGAAGCCAGCAGTCCCAAATCGCAAGCCCAAAGCCACAAATCATAAGGCCCTGTCCACGAGTGGCAAAATTGTTGCCCAATACTCCATAGTTCTCCTGAAGCTTCTGTGGGCTTCCCTTGTGCGCTTGGACCCCATCCCTTGAGAACCTTATACACAACTGTCGCGTCGGAGCGTGAAAGCTCGAGCGAGGACTATGCGGAGTCCTGGCTGCGGGATCATGGGATCGACCTTCGCCTGGGAAAGGAGCATGTGGCTGAGGGTGACTCGTCCCATCTACTCTATAGCCTAGTAAATCCCAAACAAATCCCATCCGACCCCAAGAGTCCTAGCTTGCAGGTCCTAAAGCCCAAATGCCAAGGGCATGCCAAGGGCTGAAAAGGCAGTTGCCGACGCACACCCCAGACGCCCTGAGACCCATGTGGAACCTTCAAACAACAAATTTGAGACATCCATTCAGCGGCAATTCAACAGAACGGATTCACAAGGTTCAGGGCTTTAGGTGTTTTTGGGGTGCCAGGATTGTTTCGGAGGCTTCCAAAGCGATTGTGATATGCAAGGATTTTAGACGGAGTTCTTGTGCAGTGAAGGTCTTGTGGTTTCGGCTCAAGAAAAGAGAAGGCCTAGCGGTTTAAGCCCGCCAAATCAGAAGGTCCTTTCATCGCTTCCAGGAGCTGCCTCGAGAAGAGCGGCCACTGCTCGAAGCGCTGGGTGTGCGTGAGGTGGGGAAGAAAGAGAGAAAGAGAGAAGGAGAGAGAGGCAGAAAGAAAGAGAGAGGGAGAGAGCAAGCGAGAGCGAGAGAGGTAGAAGCCTCCGGCCCACGAAGCCAACAGAACACCTTTTGGTTGCGTAAATGCCCGTTGAAGCCGCCTTTGACAAAGGAGAGGGACTCCCTAAGCTGAGTCTTGCCGAGGCCGAGGTGCTGCAATGCACCGGCCTGTCTATGTGCCTGGGCTTCCTTTGCACGTCCTTGAAGCCTTGAATCCTTACATATCCTGAAAGGAGCGCACTTGTCCCTCGTAACTGTAACGAGGAGCCTAAACCAAACTTGAGTCAGGTTCGTGATTTAGGCTTTGGGGCCTTATGGGCTGATCCTTGAGAAGTTGAGGAAGTTGAGGTTCGTGGAGGGCAAGGCTCACTGCGCATGTCAAAGACCCACGTTCTGGCTTCCGCGAGGTTTCAAGCAAACCAAAAGCCTTCTTTAACGCCTTATACCAGCCCTTCTATTGAGGTTTGCTCCCGAAGCCTCTCAAGAGATAGGCTGCGGTGAGCTTACGTCATCATGTACGATCATGTACGATGTAGGAACCGTTTGGATCCTGGCCATCATGCCAGCAATGCAACAAAAGCAAAAAACAAGAAGAAGAAGAAGAAGAAGAAGAAGAAGAAGAAGAAGAAGCAGAAGAACAACAACGACGACGACGACGACCACAACAACAACAACAACAACAACAACAACAACAACAACAACAACAACAACAACAACAACAACAACAACAACAAGCACAAGCACAAGCACAAGCACAAGCACAAGCACAAGCACAAGCACAAGCACAAGCACAAGCACAAGCACAAGCACAAGCACAAGCACAAGCACAAGCACAAGCACAACAACAATAACGATGACAAGAAGTTCTCGTGCCGCTGGGGCTTAGCTTGTGTTGCAAAACCAGCACCACGATCGACAACCAGATGCCATTGCAACTCAAGTGTCGGAACCATCGGTGACCTTGGGCATCCCAAAGACCTGAAGCCTTTCAGTGAAGCCCACCAAGACAAAGCGGCTTTTTCAACCCGCTGAGCGTTCCGCCCTGGAGCCCTGAACTTCTCTGCACAGCTTGCGAGGTGCTGCGACTTCGCTGCAGACCTGCGCTGTCGCGACGGACACTTGGTTTTGGGCTAGAAGCGTGCAATGAGGGTCGAAACTACAGCGTTTACAGCGTTTCCTTCCGAAAGTTCCAGAAACCCCTGAACTTCCCTAAGTACTGGCCCTAAACAGCGAAAGTGCGAATCCCCCCAAACAGATCAGCCTACAAAATCCATCCGCGACAGCTGCTGAGGATACGGTCAGTTGCGCCAGCGCCTGAAACCTTCTTGGGCGTGATCGTTGCTGAGGTTGAGTTGAGGGTAGAGGGTGGACAGACTCGTGTAGAGCGCTTATGCTAACTATTAGGATCTCAGGGTCTCTGAGCGAAGGGAAGAAAGACGATAGTGGAATTCCTGTCTCTTTTAGTCTTGAAGCTCCACAGTCTTGGATGATTGGCATTGTGTTTTGGCAGAAGCCGGCAAATCGCGGGCTTTCGGCACATACAACTTTTGTTTCTCCAAGAACGCGTATGTAGTGAGAGGTTCCACGAATCACAGTGGAGGGAACGGGGAGCTAAACCCTAAACCCATCATGATCCACCAACCCCCCCCCCCTCGCCGGCACACTGGTCACTTGTGACCGCCTCACCTGGGTCACTTGTGCCCGCATTTTTGCGGGTCACTTGTGCCCGCGCACTGTCACGGTCTCGTCTGCCTCTAGGGGTTTTGGGCTGTCACGGACTCGTCCGCTTCTAGGGGTTTTGTGCTGTGACGGTCCCGTCCGCTTCTAGGGGTTCTGGACTGTCACGGTCTCGTCCGCTTCTAGGGGTTTTGGGCTGTCACGGTCTCGTCCGCTTCTAGGGGTTTTGTGCTGTGACGGTCCCGTCCGCTTCTAGGGGTTCTGGGCTGTCACGGTCTCGTCCGCTTCTAGGGGTTCTGGGCTGTCACGGTCTCGTCCGCTTCTAGGGGTTTCGGGCTGTCACGGTCTCGTCCGCTTCTAGGGGTTTTGGGCTGTGACGGTCCCGTCCGCTTCTAGGGGTTCTGGACTGTCACGGTCTCGTCCGCTTCTAGGGGTTCTGGGCTGTCACGGTCTCGTCCGCCTCTAGGGGTTTTGGGCTGTCACGGTCTCGTCCGCTTCTAGGGGTTTTGTGCTGTGACGCTAGGGGTTCTGGGCTGTCACGGTCTCGTCCGCTTCTAGGGGTTCTGGGCTGTCACGGCCTCGTCCGCCTCTAGGGGTTTTGGGCTGTCACGGTCTCGTCCGCTTCTAGGGGGTTTTGTGCTGTGACGGTCCCATCCGCTTCTAGGGGTTCTGGGCTGTCACGGTCTCGTCCGCTTCTAGGGGTTCTGGGCTGTCACGGTCTCGTCCGCTTCTAGGGGTTTTGGGCTGTCACGGTCTCGTCCGCTTCTAGGGGTTTTGTGCTGTGACGGTCCCGTCCGCTTCTAGGGGTTCTGGGCTGTCACGGTCTCGTCAGGGGTTTTGGGCTGTCACGGTCTCGTCCGCTTCTAGGGGTTTTGTGCTGTGACGGTCCCGTCCGCTTCTAGGGGTTCTGGGCTGTCACGGTCTCGTCCGCTTCTAGGGGTTCTGGGCTGTCACGGTCTCGTCCGCTTCTAGGGGTTTCGGGCTGTCACGGTCTCGTCCGCTTCTAGGGGTTTTGGGCTGTGACGGTCCCGTCCGCTTCTAGGGGTTCTGGGCTGTCACGGTCTCGTCCGCTTCTAGGGGTTCTGGGCTGTCACGGTCTCGTCCGCTTCTAGGGGTTTTGGGCTGTCACGGTCTCGTCCGCTTCTTAGGGGTTTTGTGCTGTGACGGTCCCATCCGCTTCTAGGGGTTCTGGGCTGTCACGGTCTCGTCCGCTTCTAGGGGTTCTGGGCTGTCACGGTCTCGTCCGCTTCTAGGGGTTTTGGGCTGTCACGGTCTCGTCCGCTTCTAGGGGTTTTGTGCTGTGACGGTCCCGTCCGCTTCTAGGGGTTCTGGGCTGTCACGGTCTCGTCCGCTTCTAGGGGTTCTGGTCTGTCACGGTCTCGTCCGCTTCTAGGGGTTTTGGGCTGTCACGGTCTCGTCCGCTTCTAGGGGTTTTGTGCTGTGACGGTCCCGTCCGCTTCTGGGCTGTCACGGTCTCGTCCGCTTCTAGGGGTTCTGGGCTGTCACGGTCTCGTCCGCTTCTAGGGGTTTTGCGCTGTAATGGTCTCGTCCGCTTCTAGGGGTTTTGTGCTGGGCTGTCACGGTCTCGTCCGCTTCTAGGGGTTTTGGGCTGTCACGGTCTCGTCCGCTTCTAGGGGTTTTGGGCTGTCACGGTCTCGTCCGCTTCTGGGGGTTTTGGGCTGTCACGGTCTCGTCCGCTTCTAGGGGTTTATGGGCTGTCACGGTTTCGTCCGCTTCTATGGGTTTTGGGCTGTCTCGGTCTCGTCCGCTATTATGGGTTTTGGGCTGTCACGGTCTCGTCCGCTTCTAGGGGTTTTACGGCTGTCACAGTCTCGTCCGCCACACTTTGGGCCACTTGCCGAAAAAACAAGTGACCGGTCACAGCATGGCAAGGCCGCAGGATGAGTTGTTCGAAGTTTTTTTACACCTGCCACGTCCTGCATGCGTGGTGGTTAGCAATCCCGCACACGGGGGCAGACCGCACGCGTAAGGTCTGGGGTGGGAGTAACTGTTTGAGAATGGGGTTCTGCTTAGGTTGGATATAGGAGTTCTGCTTAGGTGACCCATCCCTCTGAGTGGATGCGGTTGTGGTGTATTGCGTGAAACAACGTTTTTACCCCCCAACCCCCCCCCCAACCTCCCACCGAGGTGGCACAAATCCGTCTGAGTGGATGCGGTTGGTCTATTGCCTGAGACAACGTCTTACCCACTCACCCTCCACCCCCCCCGTCCTTGGACACTTAACCTCGGTTCTGCGCGTGCTCTTTGTTTTCTTGGATTCTTCCCGAAAACCTCTGGAATCGGGTTCTCGTTTGCGGAAGGTGTTCTATCGGATCGCTTTCAAGCGAAAGAGGCCACGAAGAGGAGACGGTGACGGGAGGCCACGGAGACGACACAGTCAAAGGAGGGGGGTCGGAACATTTTGCTGGGAGAGGGGCGTGGCGTGGGGAGGCGCAAGCTGCGGGTTTGGGATTTGTTGCTTCGGGCCCGTGCTTTGGTTTTGGGCTTCAGGTTTGGGATTTCTGCTTCGGGTTTCGGGCTTTTGTGTTGGGATTTCGCTTGCAGCAAATTTCAACCCGTCAAGCCAAAACACAAGCCGAACCCCATCCTGCCTTCCTGCCCACCCCCTCCTCAAGCACCACCGCACTCAGGCACCAACCGGTCTATGCAGGTCCTGTCTTCGGAGCCAGAAGGCAGTTTGGGGCCTAGGGTTTTCAGTGTTTGGCAACTGGGAGGACTGTAGCATTTCGTTCGAAGTCATTGTTTAGGAAAAGCTCTCGTGTCACACGCAGTCAAACTTATGGGCGATTGCTCGAGGAGAAGGCGTGCAGAGCGTACATCTTCCACTTTCCCAGTATGGAATGGTCTGAAATCTGCGCTGCTATTTTTCAAACAAAGGCACGGAATGGCGTTCAAACTACAGGCACAGTGCTTCGCACAATTTAAAGTTTTGAAGGTGGTGGGAAGGCACGCAGGATGCTGACCCACTCAGAGCCGTTCTAAACGGACTGTGTCCTCTGAGCTAAGTTAAGCTTCTTTACTAGATGACTAGATGATTCAGCAGACAGAAAAAACAGACGCTTGTCATGAAAATGACTTTGCACTGCACAGGCATTCATCCAGACTTTGGCTCTCGCCTCCCCTGACACCCAGAGTAAGGTGTCACCCCTGACTATCCACAAGCCATGTGGATGAAACTCGAGCAAGATAAGCAAGAATCAGCTGCGCTATGAATCTTCGGGTCTTGCGTCGAACGGTATGAGGGTTGTTCACGTGGTTCTTGGACTTGGTAGTGCAGTGAACAAAACATCCTGGCTGGGCCGCGCATCCAAGCAACCAGGCCCTGGGCCATACAAGTCGCAAGCTAGGATGCGATGTTGGTCATGTGCAGCGCAGCAGCACTTTACTTTGAGGCTGCGATCTCAAAATGCGACAATACAATACGATCCATACCCCGTCGCAGCTTTCAAAGCCAAGCCGACCTGACTCTGAACCCCCTTACGCCTTGAGTTTGGAAGCCAGGCAACGCAGTCGCCGCGGGACACATTTTCGCTCTTGGATTCCCGCCTGCACATTGCTTTGGATGTGTTTATAAAAGGCGAACGGTTGCAGAGGTGGGTTCAAAACTGAGTGTGTCCGGCTTTTATGTGTGGGTAAGTGAATTTGAGGAGCCAAGCCCCCGGGACCAATCTTTCTGACACAAATGAGCCCACAACAAGTTCCGGCCGCATCCAGCTTCCGGGTCCCGGAGGGCACTTGGCCCCAGGAACAGTGGCTGCTATATGATTAACAGTGCAAGAGGACCTGAAGGATACCTGAGTCCTGCTCAGGAATTCTTGGACCCAAACATGGTTCAGTTTTTTGAGCGGTCCGGGGTTCGAAAACCGAGATACCCGGAAGCTGCATGTGATGCAAGACGTCCCACAATCCCGAGCAAGGCTTGAAGTCTGAAATGCTGCGCTCGAAAACTAAACCCCGCCAGTTGTTTGATGCCCGGCCTCATCTGCAAATCTTCAGGCGACTGTGTCTCCGTCCAGGGCACCACGGTGCCGCTCTCCAAAGACATATATCCGGCGGAGGCGGGCCTTGGGAGAGGCCTTTGTCACAAGACCTAATGCGGCTTGTTATCAATGCATGTAGCATGGGCTAAGTGTGTTTCTTAACCAAATTCAGGAGTTAGGAGTTGAGGGTGTGAGGACTTTACGAAGCAAAGGAGCTCCAAACGTGTTGCTGAGGAGCTTGTTGTTTCAAGATAAGGCTTGGTGGGTATTTGTATCGAGGGGCTTGCCGGAGAGGCTTGGTCCGTTGTTCTGGATGCTGGCATAGGTTCATCATTGGTTTCCCGGCGGCCTAGCTGATTCATGTAATCTGCATCCAACGATCTCTCATACAATTGCTCGCAACCAACTGTGTCCTCTTCACGGCTGATACATCACCTTCGCAACTTGCTGCTTATGAGGTTCTTCCCATCAGGCCTCAATGCGGATTCGCCTTCCCAGTGCACCCACGCTAAGATGCGGCTTCAATTCTTTCAAGGACCTGCCACACCAACATGTGTAGCTTAGGCAGGCCAGTCAGGCGCAAGGCTTGTGAACTCTTCCGACACCATGACATTACAAACAAAGCTCGATGCGCTGCAGTGCATCTTACGAGTGCTTACGCAGAGACTCTGCGAGCCTAGCCTTAGCCCGATGGCAATGCGCATATATACGTAAAATCAGTGGTTTCATGACTTTAAGCACTACATCCATAGGCACAACCCTAGGCTTTGCAGAGCTGTACAGAGCTATGCGGAATTATTCTGACTCTTTCAAAGCTGGTCCCTGGATCCAAGGCCATGGCGGAGGTTGCTTCGGCCCCAGTGTTTCTACTTTCAGGTTTGGATTATCGGCTGATTCAATAGTCGTCTCCTTTGTCCGGAGAACTTACTAAAACCCATTTTCAAGGTTGGAGGAGTTTGGGGTCACTATGGGTTGGGCTCGAATGGGACCACTGAAAACTTCCGGCAATCGTTGACGAGGGGTCTAGCTCGATCTGTTCGGATCTGTCAACGCTCCATATAAACTACGACGTGGCATTGAAGGTTCAGCAAAAACACACTCTCACATCTTACCCAATGGCTGCTTGATAAAAGATAAATCCGATAGAGCCCATCAGCCCCAATTCCAAGAAGATCTAGACATCTAGATGTAAATCATGACACTGCAGGAACTCAGAAAATAATCCAGGTCACTGCCAACCTGCGCAACTTGCTCCAGAGCAACAGCGAGTTGCAGGAGAGGGTCAGGTTAATATTTGCAGACTCGGTGGCTTTGGTGGGAACAGTGTGCAAGGGTGTCGGTCAACCCGAAGGTCTACATCGATAGTATCAAACTTAACAGGCCTTAAGGGGTTTTAAGGGGGCCTCGCAGCGTAGGTGGGGTGCGAAGGCTTTCTTCCATAGTTCCTCGTCGGGTGTGTTTGGAGGTGCCGTCCCAGAGGGCACAAAAACCTGCGCGTGTACGTGCACGCAGGCTTGTGCATAGGTGTTTCGCATGAGAACCCATGGCACAACAACATTTTGCAACATACCAACATACCAACATACCTTGAGACTTCAGCTTAAAGACCAAAGCAGGAACTCCCCTACAGCAAGCCTTAGAAAGCCTTCGGGTCAATCCTGTAAAGTAGCTGTCAGAGGCCAAAGCTCACATCACTTCCTTAGGAGCTACCAGCCCAACTCTGGGAACTGACGCTTTGCTCTTTGGGCCCTGGCACCTGGGCAATGCAGGAAGCGAGGGCAGGTAGCGTTCAAGGTTTGAGGGCTTGGCAGCTAAGCATGTGCAGAGCTCAAGGTTTCGAGGCGTCAGCTTCGAGGTTCAGATTCTAAGGCAACTTCATCTTTGGGAGTTTGGGTTCCGGGATTGAGGCTCTGGACGCTTAGGATTCAGAGGTAAGGCCGTGCTTGAGTTCGAAACGGTGGATCCAATGCGCACTGGAGCGGAAGGGCCAAGGGTTCAAAAAGGGCCAATGAAAGCTGAAGCAGGGTTTTCTGCCCCATGTGTTAGTTTTTGGCACGGTTCAGAGTGCAGGGCTTTCAGGCACAGAAGGCTTCGCGTTTCAAACCCTAAATCACATCCAGACGACTGCATCTTCATCATGAATGGCCGCGTGATGGCCACTGGATGGATGGCCGTGCAGATGAAGCACCAAGTCGAGGCCATCTGGGCAGGTGTTGGGCTTGTAGCTGCTTGTTTCGAAACCTGAAAGTTGGCAAGCCTCGGCCAGTCAATGCTGAGAAAGTTTAGGGGGCAGAAGATGTGAGATTTGGCGGTTCTTGCGATTTTGTTCAGGCTTCTCGGACAGCACGGTAGGATTTTGAGCTCCCTAGCTGGACTTCAGCCTTTGCGGGCAGAGGACATTATCTCACAACATTCGGGCAGTTGGCATACATTGCAACATCGTGAGTTTTGAAAACTTGTGGTCACAAGTATGCCACTTATGCGTTTCCAAAAGAATTATGCTTTTCTAGGTTGTTCGATGCAAATTGTGCTTTTCTGAACGTAGTATTTCATTTGTATTTAATTCGCAACAACATAGATTATCTAGCATGCAAAAGAAAACAAGTTTGCTGTGTTTTAACTAATGTTTAGTTTACATATCGGTTGTATTCAAAACTCCTTGAAATTAGTATTGAAGTATGAACGGCTTTAGTCAGATCATTAGTATGCCATGAATCTTTCATTAACTCGTGAAAAGTGTATACCTTGTACTTCAGTCGTAAAAGCAATTCGTCCTTGAGTATTTGATCAGTTTTCCCCTGGTCTTGAAGAAGCACTAATTTGCTTGGAACAAGCGTTATTTGCTTAGACAAAGCACGATAGGACGTGAATTCAAGCATTGCTTACTTGAGTTGAAGTTTTGCTTTCGGTGGCAGTACCGATGACTCATCCGCATTGAGACGGAGAAAGGAACGAGAAATGTTCGACGCAATTGTGTCACATGTGCCGCTTCGCATACATTACGGCATACATTGTTTACAGCACACAACAGATGCCATGTTCAAGCAACATAGTACATAACAGATTTAATTTATAGTATGCATCCCCATACCATGACCAAACGGTGAGACTATGTCTATACTGGTTGACTTCAAAACAAAAACATATGTATATATATATATATATACATATATATGTACGAAACATGAGTACATTTTCGATATTCAAGGAAGTGTACAAGCGTTGACCCAAGGATATCTACATATTTCCTCAACAGCCTAAGCCCTGCTGCGTCACAGCGGAAGAACCATAGCGAAAGCCGTTGCTCCTGGCTGCGTTGAGGTGACCAAGATGGGGCAAATGAAGCAAGCTTCTAGACTGCACATTGGGTCTGACTTTATTGCGTTTGGCAAAGTTTAATGCGTTTGGGGCATGGCGTGTAAGGTCGGGTGACTAGTACTACGCATGCAGTCGCACGCCCAATTGCTACTGTTGATGCATGTGAGTGAGCCGCGCCAGAAATACCACTTTCGATCGGCGCTGCTCATTTTATCAGTTTCTACGCCAACCCGAGGAGCAGAAAGATGTAACAGCAACTGCTGGGATCGTCCTTTTGACAGCTTTGCATTCCTCTTTGACTACTGTGTCTCTCCTTGCCAGTGTGTTGTTCGTCGCATCGGTTTGAGATTTACTTTTAGTTTTAGGCTCGTTCTTGTTCACGATGTTGCCTAGTTTCGTGGCTATGTGTTTTCTTTTGCTGTGTAAGCCACGTGGTGACGTCTATCACAGCGCTAAAGTTTCAATCCCAATTTCCATGAGTCGCATTCCTCTTCTAGCATGGTTGGACGATGTGAAAAGCAGGGTCAGACGCATTGCATGTTAATCTGTAGGCACGCATGTATGTTGGAATAGAATAGACAGCAGCTTTGTCAATATGTTTGGGAGCGTTTCTTCATCAGATGCCTCAGTTTTCTAAACCGATCAGAGCCACCTCTATACACTAGGCTAGACCAACGCCTTGTCGCCCAGGAGATGTGGGGTCGCTTGGTGTGGAGCTTGATACCCCACTGGTGAGATCTAGCACCGATGCGCGACAGCGGAGAAGCTTTTAGGGTTCAATTTGGGCCGCTCCGCCCCTTTGGGGTCTCAGGCTCCTTTTGCAATGAAAAAGGTAGCAGATTTCAAGCGTTTGGGGTTTTTGGGTGGCACAATCTCGGCCAAGTGTTCACGATGACATGCCCCCCCCCCTCCCTTTTTTGTTCACAATGAAGGGAACCGTTTGTGTTTCAGAGTTTTGGATGCATGCTTGCTAGCTGAAACCCCAGAAGCCCAAGGGTTGGGGTTGCAGCCGTCGGTTCCCCTAGCGCTTCGCTGCTCCACTGCTCCCGCGCCTTGGAGTTCCTCTCGTGTGCCAAACTCCGGAGTGGAATGCCAGCTGCTTCGGGGAGAAAGGCAGAGCGCTTCGCAGATTTGTTTCGACATGTTTCAAGATTTGGTCAAGGGTTGTGTGTGGATCTTGTGGTGTGTTTCTCTTTGCGATCTTTGCTTGAGGGAGTGTAGGGATTGCTTTCGGGTTCGGGGTGCTGGCATCTTCAAGATCCACGGTTTGGGTTGGCTTAGGAGGGCTCAGGATGGTCTCCGACTTGGTTCTTTGCCTATCAGTACATGCGGATGTCGGGCGGAAGTGTAGTTCTTTTGGAAGCGCGTGTTATGTCCGGGTTGTTGTATCATGATGCATCTTGAAGTGTAGCAGGCAAACCATGGGACCACCCGAAACCCCCAAGGGCCACGCCCCAGCCCCATACTTCCAGCATCCAGACGCGCAAAGTCCCGATGGACCCTGGCTGCCATACTCACCCTTGCGCTCCGAATTCAAGTGTTGAAGGGTTTAGCATCGGGTGCCCCACATGATATTTGTCCCAAATCTTGGAGCATGCTCCACCCTTCCAAGGCCATGGAAACCTTTCAAGAAGCACCCGAAGCTTCTAACATGGCCGACATGTGACGGAAAACCCGAAAGAACAGCCCCAAAACCCCTACAAGCAGTGGCTACAAGGCTCCCTTCTTGTGAAGCTTCCCTAAACCGCCTAATCCCTAACCTTCCCTTTGAAAACGACCCTTATAAGCATGTCTCCACCCAGGTGTGTCCACCTGCGCGCCTCCACCAAAGTCGGGCTCCGGCTCTACGAGCAGCACGGGGCCCCAGCTTTAGGGAATCTTTACGGTTGAGGGTTGAGGGTTTAGGGTTTAGGGTTTAGGGTTTAGGGTCACGGTGTGGCATGGCTATGTATACGGCTCTTCTGCTACATTCCAAGTAGCTCTCGATTTCCATCTGTCCATTGTCCATCGACTCTGCTCATACGGACACTAAGCCCTCGTTTAACGGCAGAAAGATTCCGAGCCGATGCAGGGTGAGGTTCGTGTTTCATGATGTAGCGAGTGGTGTTCCTGACATCCCTGGCACTCCGAGTGAATGCTCGCAAGCCGGACAGCCGATATGCTGTTGGATTGTTTAGAGTCCTTTTGCTGCTCTAAGAGGGTTCAAGAGGGGCTCCTCGTACCCTTCAAGCCCTCCTCACCCTCACACCCAAGCCCTTGCAAACGCCCGTCCATCCTGAAGCCTGAAGCCCTTGTTCAGTACCTTAAACTTTCTGCCGCACCAATCTCGTTTTTTTCAGATTGTGAAAGCTTCCATCCGGACATGCCACATGCTACACTCGTGAACCTTCTGTGCTGTGCCCATAAATCCTCCGACCATGCTACACTCGCGAACCTTCTGTGCTATGCCCATAAATCCTCCGACCTTACCCGAATTTGCCGCGGCATTCCTGTCGAAAGCTTGAGTCGTCAACAACCTTACGCAACAAGCTGAGCAATCGTGCACAACTAGCAAACCAGAAGCCTGAATACTCATATCACCTGAAAACCCTAGAGGTACAAAGACACAAAGCCCCGGCAAAATATCTCAAAATCTCCATCGCCATGAATTCCACCTAGCGAAGCGGAGTTTCTCCTGAACCCTGAACTCAAGATATTGAGGGCTAGCGCAGGTCTTATCTTGAACCGAAAGCTTTTGCTAGCCCTAGGCTCCGCTTCCTCGCCTCTGGTGAGGACAGCTCACGCGCTGGATAGAGTCTCAAGGCTTTCAAGGCTTTCAAGGCTTTCAAGGCTTTCTGACTGTACGCCGTTTGTGCTTTCTGCGCTTCCGGGTCTGAAGTCGCGGATGGGACAGGTTGCTTACAAGGAATGTTTCCATGCGCGAATCTTACACCAGTGCTAAACATCAAGTGTGAACAAAACCATCATGTCTCCGCAGGCACGTTTGGTACAAGTCAAGTTTGACTTGCGCCACTGATCGACACCGATCAGCACCAAGGTTAAACAGAGTGGCGTGGGCTTTTGGTCAACGATAAGGCCTCAAGATTGCGCCATAAATGAACTATCCAGCATAGGACCTCTCGAGGGATTTTTTAATTAGCATTTACATAAGATTTTTTGCGGGTGCTCATATCACAGGCCTGCAGGGTTTACGTTCGCTTGCCAGTTTGGGATTGGAGTTGTTACGCCGTCTTTGGGGCTTCAGGTTGTGGTACCTTGTCGAGCTTCTCTATAAAAACGTTTCAACCTGAATAAGCCCAGGGCACGTAGCAAAACATCCTCCAAGTGCCTTTTCAAGGTCCTCAAGCCTCCACTTCGTGTATCCTGCAGGACATGTTCTATTTAGACCCGACCGTTGGCCTGGGTGGTATCAGCCCAGAGGCTGCTTTGTACGGAATCCTGTTTTGGGGCTATAGGACACCTGCCTGGACCCACCCCCTGGAAGCTTTCTTAGTTTCGGGCTTTTGCGGTTTTGGAGTTTTGGGGTTTGCGTGTGGGTTGAGGGTTTCGTGAATTGGGCAAGCGGATTTGTATGGAAGTTTTGCCGTGAGGGGTTCAGCCAGAAGCCCTCAGCCCACACTTTCGACCATGGTTTTGACCCATATATGGTTGGACATACATTTTGAATCTCCGCACCCCCAAGAAGAAACAGTGAAAAGGGACCTAAAGGTTTTGAATGCGTGACCGCCTGGGCAGTGTTCCAGCTATCGTAGGGTTAACAGCCCACATCCTGCGCTTCATCTGCCATCGGAGCTTTAAAGTAATTCACTTCGATCATCCCCACCCTGCAGCGAAGGATGTGGGAGCCATCTTGCCGTTTTTTGGCAGGTTAAATGAAGGATACTTCGCCGCAGGCTTCTGTCGCGACTCTCCGTGGAATCCTGAGACGACTTATGCGCCAGCCCGATGCCTGTAAACACGAAGAACGTGTCCAAAGACGCTTCTATAACCCAGGAAAACACAAACCAAACACACACTCCTTGAAGCCGCCAAACAGGCCACAGAGCCCGAGTGGCCGGACCACAACCGCAAGGATCACAAGGTGGGCACTCGAGCATTTTAGGGTTTTTGGAGGGCCTCGGAGATTGCTTCGGTTACGGCTTATCGCTTGAGGCCTGTGATGATTTTGGAGGTCCAGCTAAGGCACCGCGCCGCTTGTGGCCGCTGGGGTCAAGTCCAAATGCTTCAGATCTCGGTGCTTCGAGCTTGTCTTCGCAATTCTATTGCAGGTTTCAGGGCTTCGGGTCGCTCCTGCTGCACGCGAAAGACTCTGAACATCGACCTCCAATGTTTGCAGAAAGAGGGAAGGTGTCGGAGCCACTTGAGCTGCAGAGAGTGATTCAGATGTGCCAAAAAACTCCAAGGTCTCCCAAACCCGAACCCTGCAGCGATGCCATTTGTACTCCCAGGCCAGGCGCCCTTAAAAGCAACTCACAGCCCGCCTAAGAAGTCAGGTGGAAAAGAAGATTGAGGCGCCTGGCATGCCGAGGGTCTTTGGTAGATGGCTCGTATGGCTTCGTGAGGATTTGGACATCGAAGTCTTGTAGGATACGACCTGTTGAGGAAACAAGAAGGCCTCAGGAGCGCTTTTCGGTAGCGATCGTTAGTGGGGCTACTCCACTTCTCCCAGAATGTTGAAAGCCTCACGCCCGGCTCCGAACCAATCTGGGTATGGCCTAACTGCGTTTTCTCAATGCTTTACAGCTCCTTGCATTCCGAGTTGGATGTAGTCGTATGCAAGGAGCGAGAGCAGAATCCATGCTCGATTCGATACTTGTTTGATATTGTTCGCTTGCTGTCGTTCCGGCATTCTGAATTTCCAACTCTGTGAGGGCCTTTCATACCAACACTCCGGCATCGTTTAAGGAGGTCACTGTCCCATCCTTACATTCCAACATTTCAGCATTTTGCTGGGCCTTAGCTGTGAAGATGCCCTCCAAATATTTCGTGTCAGAACTATGGAAAGGTGCACAAACCGGGCTCACAGTGGGTTATACCCCGAATCCTTGTGAAGCTGGGAAGGGATGCACTCGGATGCAGCCGGTTAGCAACCCTTCCCAGAACAAAAGCCCTACATCCCCAATCACCCTGGCACCAGGTTGCAGACGACATGAGAATTTACGAATTTGGCGCCTTGCCGGGCTCTAAGAACCTGGGGGGTACAATGCAATTTGCAGGGAAACCAAGTGGACGCTAGGCGGACTGCCATCTTGTCGGGGGCCTGGGTTTTAGGTTGTACCGCGGTTTGCCCTTAAGTACAGAGCAGGGTTTTAGCCAGCCTTGGGCACGACGAAACAACCGCAACACTAAAACCAAGTCTAAAATCTTCTCCAAGTGAGCTACCATGCTGGCAAACAGAGTTGCGGGACGTTGCACCCAAACCTGAACTTGTGAATACGGACCCTTCCAATCCTGAAATTCTAAAACAAATAGAGCCCGAAGCCCCGCAATGTGCGTCCTGAAAGCCGAGAGGTCCCAGGCCTAAACCCCAAAGAGCAGCACTCATCCCAAATACGCTTGGAAAGGCTTCTAGCATTCTAGCAGTAGCTCATCGCTCAGCCAAAATTTCAAAGCGCACTCTTCAGGAAGTCGATTTCATGTTCCTAAGCATGCTTGCGGCGCATCGTGTCCTGTGGTCTTAAGGTCCGCGGGCATGCTTTGCGATTTGTGAGTTGTTTGCGCTCCTTGCGGTCCAC